CAGGCCAGCAGGGGGAGGACAGCAGGCCAATCCGAGGCCGGGCTCCCTGAAGGCCAGCGGGGCCCTCGAGTGGCCAGAGCCCCATTCAGGCCAGCAGGGGGAGGACAGCAGGCCAATCCGAGGCCGGGCTCCCTGAAGGCCAGCGGGGCTCTCGAATGGCCAGAGCTCTGTCACAGGCCAGCAGGGGGAGGACAGCAGGCCAAGCTCCCATCCCTGAGGGCACCGGCACTCTGCAAGGGTGTGAGCGGAGCATGTCATGATGCGAATTTCTGTTTTCAGAAGATGGCTCTGGCCGCTGTGTGGAGCATGGGCTGACGGAGCGAGCATGCAGCGGGGTGGTTTGGAAGCTCTGTTCTGTCTAGGCCAGTGGCGCTGGTGGAGGGGCGAGGGAGGCGGCAGGGAGAGGGGTCAGCTGAGGGTGGGGCCCGGCAGAGTTGGCAGGGGCCTCAGGACTCGCGGCCGCCCCTCGCTCAGGGTGTTGGCCGTGGCCCTCTGTGCTGACCCTCCGGGGAGCCGGGCCGTCTCCGCCGGAGCCTCGCCCACACCAGCCTCCGGGGGCAGGGGGCAGCGGTGGCCGGAACAGACGCAGCGAGAGTGGGCGCCCCGCGCTGCTCGTCAGGGCTCTGGTAGATCTGAGCCAGCAGAGCCTCGCGCCCTGTAGAGTGGACAGGAGGCCCTCGGGGGCAGGAGCCCCGGCGCCAGGGTCTGAGTGAGGTGCGGCCTGCCCTGCCGGCCCTGGCCCCGCCCCACCTCACCGGCACCGTCTGTCCCCAGGTTTCCCCTACGAGAAGGTGGTGCAGAGGGTCCTCTACCTCCAGGTCCTGGACTACGACCGCTTTAGCCGCAACGACCCCATTGGGGAGGTGTCCATCCCCCTCAACAAGGTGGACCTGACCCAGATGCAGACCTTCTGGAAGGATCTGAAGCCATGCAGCGATGGGAGTGTGAGGCCCACCTCGGGCCCCGGGCTGGGTGTGGGGGTCCCGGCAGGTCTGCTCCCAGTTCCTCCTTGACCCGGGAAAGGGGAAGGCTGGGCTTGGGGAGATGCGCCTGAGCTGTGACCAGAAGCTTGTGGTCTGCCCAGGGAGGGGGTGCCACCGTGGGGGGTGGCACTTCAGGATGAGGGGAGTCGGGGTGATGGGGTGGGCGAGCACCCAGGTCGGGTGGGGGCTGGGGCAGCCAGCCGGGGCATGGGCTACCCTCTCCTCCCCCAGTCCCCGCCGCCCCCCGGTGGAGCCCAAGGGAGCACCCCCTGCCTCCACCGCCCAGCCTCACGCCCCTCTGCTCTCCAGGGGAGCCGAGGGGAGCTGCTCCTGTCTCTCTGCTACAACCCCTCTGCCAACTCCATCACCGTGAACATCATCAAAGCCCGGAACCTCAAAGCCATGGATATCGGGGGCACGTCAGGTGCGGCCCCTTCTTGTGACCGGTGGGCGGGGCGGGGTCACGCTGGGAGTGGAGCGCCTGCACGGCAGCCCTCGCCCCCAGCCCTGTGCCCCACTTCTGGCCCAGCTCCTGCCCTAGAGCCCTGCTGGCTCCCTTCAGAGCCTCCTCAGGGTCAGCCTCCTTGGGCTGGGGCCTCCCCGAATCGGGAGGACAGGGGACACTACTGGGGACACTACTGGCTCCAGCCGCAGCCCTGACCCCCCCTTGTCTGGGGCCCCGGGAAGAACTGCCGGCTCTGGGGCTGCTTTCCCTGGCAGGGTGCTCGCGGGGCCCAGGTGACCTCTAAGGTTCCTTCCGCTCCTCCGTGGGGGATCTCCCAGGGCGCTCCTTGCCCTCTTCTGCTTTGGCCTCCACACCTGGAGGAAAAAAGGGGTCCCGGGGAGCCCCATGTTCTGCCTCTCTGATCTGTCCTCGACCCATCCCCCAGACCCCTATGTGAAGGTGTGGCTGATGTACAAGGACAAGCGAGTGGAGAAGAAGAAGACAGTGACCATGAAGAGGAACCTGAACCCCATCTTCAACGAGTCCTTTGCCTTCGACATCCCCACGGAGAAGCTGAGGGAGACGACCATCATCATCACCGTCATGGACAAGGATAAGCTCAGCCGCAACGACGTCATCGGCAAGGTAGGGGGGGTGGGCCTGGCACACAGTGACGTCCGGCAAGCGGTGACCCTTAAAGAAGCAGTGGGAGCAGCGGGTGAGCACAGGAGTGCACAACGGGGGGCTGCACCCCTCTGGGCCTCCATTTCTCCTTCTGAAAATGAGGAGGATGAACGAGATCCACCCCCCAACGCCCCTCCTGTGGCTTATAGACTCAAGGCAGGTTGCCAGGAGGACAGGGAAGGAGGAGGTTGGTGAAACACCTAACCTGAGTCTGCAAAAGAGGGTCTGGCCAGGCTGACCCTCAGGCAGGCTGAGGTCCTGGAAGAAATGTTGCCTGGGGGCCCCCTCTGCAGAGGGTGAGTGGGGGAGGAGTGAAGGGAAGGCTTCAAAGGCCTAGCTTTGGTTCTGACCTCACATGCAGCGGTGTGACCTTAGGCAAGACCCAGGCCCCTCTGCTCGTCAGTGTTCTCATTTACAAACAGGAGCTACTAATACCGATTCTACAGCACGTCACAGGGTCATGCAGAAAGTGACCTCTCATCTGCACATATTAGCCCAAAAGAATCTATACCAGGCCCTGAGTTTTCCAGGACACAGTTCTGTGACATCAGCCCTTTGTTCTTCCGCTTTGAAATAGCTCCTGCTGCTGATGGTTTGGTGTTGAGCATGTGGGCTCGGGAGTCAGACTGGGTCCTGGTTCCAGCCCCACCTGCTGTCAGTTGCAGCCTGTCTGAGCCTCATTTCCTCCTCTCAAAGTGGAATGACAGTCCTAACCTGACTGTGTGCGGAGGGAACCAGATCAAGGAGCTGCTTGTGCAGGCCACGTGTGTCTCTCCAGGCAGGGAGGCTTGCACAGGGCCCAGTGCTCAGGGCAGGCAGGGGGATGCCAGAGGCCAGGGAGGGAAGGACAGGGGTCCCCTGGGGCCTGGCCCCGCTGGGGGAAACAGGAAAGGAAACTTGGGCACCCACAGGAGACGGGCAGGACTGGAGACACCCCTCAGCTGCTGGGAACGGAGTGTCAGAGAGGGGGGCTCACCTGCCCACCACCTAGCGAGGTCCAGGGGGCGAGACAGCTGCCCGCAGTCACAGATGAGACTGTCCCCCAGGACGGCCATCACCCACACGGCCGGCTGAGCCTCTTCCTTTGCACAGCTCAGGGCCGGGAACCACGGCTGAGCTCTTCCTGTGCTTCCCGCCATCCCAGCTCCTTTTGAAACAATGCTGCTTTCTGTTGGGTGAACCACGACGAAGGCGGATTTGTCCCCACTTCCGCCTGGATAGCTGAGGGTACCCCTATTCTGCCAGCATCAGTCACAAGCGAGGGTGAGCTGCACGTGGGGTCCCACGAGCCCCTAAGGCAGGCGGGGGCTAGTGGTGTAGAGCCAGGAAGACCTGGGTCTCAACTCCTCTGAACCCCTCATCAATTCTGGGACCGGGGTGAGTCTCTTAACTCTTCGCACCTCAGTTTCTCCATCGGTAAAACTGGGCTAAGCATACACGGCAAGTCCTCACTTAATGCCATCGGTAGGTTCTTAGAAACTGCAGCGTGAAGGGAAACACATCCCAGCAGGTCCTCGCATAACGTCCTTTTGTTATAATATCACTGGGAAAAACAGAACAGCGGCCGAGCAACGTGACCTCACTCAAGCTCCTGCGGTACCGGTGGGGAGGTGACGACCCAGGCGTAAAAAGCCCTGTTCCGTGCCTGGCCCACAGCCAGCGCCCAGCGGGGCGGCCGAGTAAGGAGAGATGGACAGTGTCCCAAAGCTAGAGCAGGCAGCAAGCTGCCTCCACCCCACCTCCAGCCCCCGCTGCAAAAGAGGCCCGAGTCCAGTTCCGAAGCTGAGCCAGGTGTGCCCAGGCCCCCAGGGAGACCAGCGAGGACGTAGGTCCGGCTGGGAGGGCACAGCACACCGGGGCAGGTGATCCGGCTGGAGGAGGCCCCACTGTTTTCACGACCACAAGTGAAGGTGTGGCTGTGGAGGTGGGTGTCTCCCCGCCGTGGGGGCCCCGGCCAAGGCCTCAGCGAGTCCCTCTAACGCCACCCTCTCCCCTTCCTCCCCAGATCTACCTGTCCTGGAAGAGCGGCCCTGGGGAGGTGAAGCACTGGAAGGACATGATTGCCCGGCCCCGGCAGCCCGTGGCCCAGTGGCACCAGCTGAAGGCCTGAGTGGGGCCAAGGGAGGCCTGGGGGGCCAAGGGCCTGGGTCCCCATCATGCCCGCACCACTTTATGCACAACGCCCAGCCTGACTCCCCTGCCGTGGGGGAGGGGAGACCCTGAGGGCTCGGCCAGGGAGGGGTCCAGGAATGGTTGGGCCCAGTTTCTAGGAAATACCAGCCCCCCCCCCACACTGGTCCAGCTCTGGGGGAGGGACTCTGGGAGCCATTTTCCTGCTTTGCCCTTTTCCTTCCTGACTTGCTGATGCTAAAGAAGTGGGGGAGAGCTCGGGAGCCAGATGGGCAGACCCCTCCAGAGGCCTGCCAGGTGGGCATGGCCCCCGTTTTCTTTAAGGCAGTGCCTGGAGGGGAGCGAGACCACCTCCCCAGCCCCCCATGTGGGGCCAGGAGGGGAGGCCGAGGCGTTTGGCCCCGGCCTGGCCAGGAGAGGCCAGATGGGCCCTGATGCAAGATGTCTGGAGCACAGCCCGTGTCCCCACAGCCACCGAGTGAGTGTCCGGTGGCCGTGGCTCCTGCCGGGGCTGGCAGTGCTGAGGGCTGTGCAGAGAGGGCAGGGTGGCCAAGCGAGGTGGGCTGGAGGCTGGAGCAGGGCATGCAGCGCTGAGGGGGGGGGGTGAGGGGGCGGTTGCGTGGGTGGGGCCGGTGGGGGGGGCTGGGCTGCGCACTGGGCCGCCTCCTGCTGCCCGCGCCAGCTCCCTGCCCTCCCAGTGCCCGCCTGTGCTCAGAGCTCCCCGGTACCTCCTACCCCGTGATTTAATCTCTTGAACACTGGCTCACGCATTCTAAGCACCTACTGTGTACTTCCTGCTCCGCTGGGACTCACCTACTCCCTTTCTTCTCAGGGGTCCCAAGCCCCCACTAGCTCTCTTCCCTGACACCCCCCATCCCAAAGACGCCCTCAGCTTTCCCAAAGTTCAGTCCCAGCCATGTGGCAATATTCCCCATGCCTTCCTGCTTCCTCCCCGTTCCTCCCTCCCTCAGTGCAACCCTCCCGCCATGCCCGGCCCCCCGGGCCTCGCAGGCTTGTAGCCCCGGTCACTTCTCCTGGTCTCTGATCTCCATCACCTCCAGCACAGCCGCAGCCGCCCGCCCGTTTGCCTCGCCCAGTTCAGGCAGGGAGTTCGGAGCTTGCCCTGTAATTTCTCCGTGTCAGCTGCTGCAGAGACCGGGACTGGTTTCCGCTGGTGATAGTCTAGAATCCGGCATCCGCGAGCCTGGACTTGACGTCCCCAGAACACACCGCCAGGTGGCGCCCCAACACCGCTGTCTGGTCGTGGTCTCGCACCACAGTCCGGCCCCCTTGGGTCTCACCCCAGAAAAGGAGACTCTAGCCAGGGCCCCCACTTACAGAGAATGGTGAAAGCATGGGTACTGGGAAGCCACTTTCCTGCGGTAGCAGGAAACAGGAGGTGCAGTAAGGAGGCCACGTTTCGGCCCATATCCAAATTTTCTTCAATTGCATCTCTCAGCCCGCCCCGCCCCTCGCCCTAAGATCTGAGTACCCCACACAGTAGGTGAATCATTTTGTAGAGTCAAGAGAGCTGATGTAAAGCAAATAGTCAACCACATTCTTGTAAATCCAAAGTTTTCTATATTGTAGCTTTGTTTAAAATGGGGGTCCGCACCGTCCTTTGGGGCAGGCTAGGGCCGGCCCCCAGGGGAGACAGGAGGGCAGCGACTCGGGAGGTTGTATGGAAACCAGAGAGCGCTGTGGGAAGTCTCGAGAGGCGGAGGGGTCCAGTCCCCCATCTCCCTCCGACCCTCCTGGGCTCGCGGAGCGGCCAGCCCCGCCCCGGTCCCGGGATCGAACCGACGTCCTGAGTGGGCGGGGCAACGACGTCCTTTCTAGCGCCCCGCCCACGGAGCTCTTAGCCAATCACCTGCAGAGAGCGCTTCCCAGCCCCGGCTTTCCGCACCTGACTCCACTCCCGCACCTTTGGGACTCCGGACTGGGTTCCCCCACCCCGACGCTGCCGGGACGTGGGGGAGGAGCTGCACGTGGAGGGCCTTGGCCCGGCGGGCTGGCACGGGAGGAGGCCAGTGGGGTGGCGTGGGGTGGGGTGGGGTGAGGGCGGGGCGGTCTAGGGCTATTGGAGAACAGGATTGGGGGAACTTGAGGGTGGGAGAAGGACTGCAGAGCCTGCCACCATCCCAGGACCTTGGGCACATCACCTACACTCCCGGGGCCTCAGTTTCCCCATCTGTCAACTGATGGTAATAATACTTCACCTACCTCATAGGGGAGGTTGTGAGGCCGCTGTCACCTGACCTGGGGGTCGAAGTAGGAGGACTCCGAAGGTGCTACCCGTGAGCAAAGTATTATTACCGTTGCTTGAACGCGAGACCCACCTGCCCTCCCCCACAGAGCCTCCAGGGATAGCTGAGGTCGGCCTGGGCCCCCCTATCTCTTCTCCACTGTGTCCCAGGCCCCTTCACGAGCCTCATCTGCCGTCTTTGTGGGCGCCTAGACTTTGTCCTTATCTTGTTATGTGACCATCTCCCCACAACTGCTCTATCAATCCCTCCTGCCCACTGGCCCCAGACGCCAGAGAAGGGACCAGGAAAACAGCCACAAAAAAACCAAGGGGGGGGACCCAGCTCCCCAACCCAGCTGGGACCCCAGGGGTGGGGATCGGTGGCCGCTGTTTGTATTGTGTTTGAGTCCTTGAGCGCAAGTGTTTTATATAAAAACAGAAACCCACTATCACAAAAAAAAAAAAGTTGCAGTGAAGAGAAATGAAGAAACACTGAAGAAAAAAAAAAAAAGGAAAACAAACCATACAAAATTTTTCCACCTCATGCACCCTCTAAGCCAGCAAGATTTCCTCTTTGCAAAACCATATTTTTGTGGGAATGGGCGCTGCCTTTTGTGGCGAGGCCCATTCTGATTAATAAAGGATCGTGAAAAAGTAGGGCCTTGGCTGTTTCCTGCGTGGGTCCCAGCCCTCTCTCACCTCCCAGGGGAAGTGGCAGTGGGGGGAGGGGAGCCTGGGGTGTCTCCCCTCTACTTGTCACCTCTGGGGCTTGGCTTCCCTGGTGATGAGGTCCTTCCTGAGCTCCCTGCCCAGCCTCACCTCTGGAATCCAAACCCACCAGTTGTCCAAAAAGCCTGGGGCAGCTGCACCCGAGTGCCGGCCTGACTCCAGATCCTGGACAGCGGAGGCCTGAGAGGTGCCCCTTGGCTCACCCAGCCTGCCTTCTCCCCAGCCCTCAGAGCAGGTCAGAAAACCAAAGATGGCCACTCCAGCCCGGCCCCCACCCCCTTACCCGAGCCGTAGCTGGGCTCAGGTCAGCCTCTCCTCCTGTCCCCCCACACCCCGTCGCCCCCAGAAGGAAAGAACTCAGGGTCTGTTGGCTAAATTGTGGCTCCTGTTGAACTCTTCAAGATTGAGAAATCTCTTTCCCACTCAAAAGAGCCTCTGGCCAGTCCCAGCCCCAGAGCCTGGGAAGCTGGGTCGGTCTCTTCCTTCTCCAGCCCCACACCAGCTAGTCCTTCCAGCCTTTTTCTCAATCCACAAACGAGCAATAAGCTTCCAGGCCCTCACACACACCGCCCAGGACAATGGCGGCCCCCAGCTGTCCGGGCACTCCTGAAGGAACCTCTGTTATCACTTGTCCCGCACTGGCCCTGCCTCAGTCTGGACTAAACGGGGCTTCCTGCTCCCCAACACCTGGGGGGGCACAGTTGCCTCCTTGCGCTGCGCTAAGTACACCCCCTGACACCGCCGACCCCCTCTGTCCCTGCATTTCTTACGCCCCGGTTTCAGTGTCCGGCGGAAAGGTCATTCTATCTTTTGACTTCTGGTCTCTATCCCAGAGACTGGAGGGTAAGTAGCCTGGGGTCAGGTAAGTAGCCCCAGAGCGCCCTTTTGCCCAGAACCCCTTGCCAGGATTTGTCTGGGAAAACAGCCCGAAGGCCGCGATAGCTGGGCAGGCAGCGGGCAGCCCCTTGCCGTGGGCTCAGGGCCTCTCGGACTTCTGGCCTCGTTCTCCTGCCGTCGTGGATCGGGTCTCTGCACCCATGCCTCTGCCGAGGTGTTTGCCCGGGCCCACTGCCCTCGCCGTCTCCTGCCCTCTGCGAGTCCCTCCTGGGTGCCACTGCTTTCTGGAAGGCCATCCGGGCCCGGCCTCTCTCCTTCCCACACAGGCCAACGCTTGAACATGCTGTATGCCAGCTCGCAGGTGCCCTGCTCCCACGTCTGTGTCCTGTGTGTCTGTGTTGTGTCTCGTTTAGATTGTGAGCCCCCAGGGCAGGGACCCCCGTCTGAACACATGTTCTGTGTAGCACACCTGGATGTGCTAATAAATGCCCATCTTCCAAACAGGTGTGCTCAGGTGTCTTAAGGAAGCTGGGGGCAGTTGGCTGAGCAAGCCAGCGTGGTGGAGGCATTGAAGGGAGGGCGGTCCCCCAGTTCCCACGCACCCTGTTCTACTTCCCCACAGTCCTTGGAGTAGGTGGGAAGAAGGGAGAACCCACCTAGCAGAACCCACTGTCCACCCTATCCCCACCTCTGCTGCTCTGGGGCCGGGAGGGATGCTGGTCACAGGAGGGGATGGACAGACTGCCGTTCCCATGGCCAAGGGAGCTCCTGTGCTGTGGTCCGGCCCGGCGAGGAGGCCCAACAGCCATGTATGGGCAAGTCGCTTCCTCCCAGGGCCCGGTCTCAGTCCTGCCCCGCTCAGACCTCAGTCCCCACAGCCACCCTCCCCGCTCTGACCTCAGCCAACTCCCTTGGCTTCAGCTCTGCATCTTGGCACAAACACAACTCTTCTAGGACCTTCCGGGCCTGCTCCCCCACGGCCCACCCACACTGACTGCCCCTGGAGGCATGGGTTATAAGGGCCCCTCCAAAACTCACCTCCCCATCTACACCAAGGCCGGGGGAAAGTCACAGGCCAGAAGTGAGGGCAGGCCAGCAGCCCAGACAGTGCTCTTTTCATTATGGGGGTGCTGTGAGACGCCCACCCCCCACCCCAAGCCGTCTCAACAACAGCCCCTCGCCCTCAGCTCCCCCACTTCCTCCTGGAGGCAGCCCCCCAGCAATGCCGTCAAGCTGGGCATCAGTACCCACTTTAACCAAACTCTGATCGTGGTGAGAGGTGAGCACAGAGGACCTCAGCTGGTGGGGGGGGTCACAGGGTCTTTGTTTTGTGGACCAGCATGGCCTGCGGGGAAGAGGTAAAAGGAACAGGCTGGACAGACAGGTTATCTGAGCTTCCAGAGCACTTGTCCAGGGTCACCCCACACGCCCCTTTCTTTCCGTCTAGAAGTTGCATGCAGCCAGGCCTGCAGCATCAGGTCAAAACACACCCCCTCCTGTGTGCAGACGGAGAAACAGAGGCCACAACTTGTTCAAGGTCATCGGTCCCTGGTGGAGTCTCCGGCTAGGGGACTGTCTCAGCTCTACCTCCTCCCCCAGGGATCAGCGTGCTCACATTCCTTCCTCCAAGTTCTCAGGCCCCAGGAAGGGCCACTGGCCCTGACAACGCCTGACGCAGGGGAGACATGGGGAACAACTAAGGAACCCCAGCGGGGGAGCAACCTGCAGTCAAGCCCAGTCCCCTCCGCCTCCCACCTCCCCACCCACCAGCTCTTTGTGTCTGTGGGAGACCTTCCACGCCACTGACAAGCTGAATGTTCCAGATCCATCCCCAGCCTCCTCCAACCCAGGCCCAGCCCCGGGGGGAGCAGAGCGGCCGGCAGGGCTTGACCCTCGACCCTGGATGACATCAGCCCTGCTGTCACAGGACGCTGGCCCAGCCGCCTCCTCCCATGGGAGATGGTTCTCTGGGCTTAAGGTCTAACAGATTTTTTCCTTGAAATCTTTATTTTTCCTTTTTCCTGAACAATGAGGGGAGAGTCATAAAAAATAGACTCAGAGGAGGGAGAGAGAGATGAAGGGGGTCAGGGTGCGGGAGGGAGGGGTACAGTACCAGTGACAGGAAAGAGAAAGCTCAGGCCAGCTGGAGGGAGATTCGAAAATAGACGTAAAGCCCCAGAGCCTGAGGACTGAGCTGGAGAAGGCTGCAGAGGGGGGCGCGGGGGCTGACGGGGAGGAGCTACACCCTGAGCAGCCGAAGCCACTTGGGACACAAGCCGTGTCGCCCAGACAGGACACAACAGTGGCCGGGGCCGCCTGACGCAGAGCTGGGCCACGTGGACAGAGGCCGTGCCAGAGGGAGCCCAGGGTCCCCCCAGCAAGGGACCTGAGGCTCCCAGGGCTTATAAATAAACAGGCATGTGGGAAATGCATAGTCTTTCTCCAAGAAATATAATTTATGTTTACAGCCAGTTTTTTTCTTCCTAAAGAAAACACTACCCCTGCGGGGCCCTGCCCCGAGTGTCCCTGAGTGTCCCGCAGCTGGCCCCTCTCCCCATTATTGCTGGGCTGGGGAAGGTCTGGCCCTGGGAGTGGCCCCACTCCTCACCCCCTTGAGGCTGTCCCTGCTGAGGGAGCGGGCGGCACACAGAGCTCGCCCGTGCCCCTGGCCGTGCCAGCCACCCTGACTGTGCCCATTTAAGGGAATGGAGAGTGCAGGCGGCGAGAGGCGCTGGAGCAGCCTCCCCGAGGAGAGCCTCTGGGGCAGGAGGCCCTAGAGGCACCAGGCACCGTGGCTTCTTTTCAGACTTGACAGCTGGAAGGCTCGGGCTGTGGTGAAGAGAGGCCTTCTCTCCTCCCAGCGAGATCCCAGGCACAGGCTAAGAGAAAAGCACAGGGGGCACAGGGGAGAAGACCCTGCCCTCATGGCCCTCCCCCACACAAATCGCAGGGTGGCAGGAGTGGGAGGTATAGTGTAAGCTGAGCCCCCGAGGGGCCGAGGGCAGCTGCCGTGTTAGGGCCCCCGAGCCCCAATTCTGTCCTGGACACCCGCCCACCGCCAAGCCCTACCCCCTGGCCGGGTCCTCCTCAGAGGGGGTGCTGTCCTGCCACCATAGCAGCTCCTGCCCGGGGAAGGTTGGGCCCAGGACAGCCAGACTCCTGGAGAGGGGGCAGGGGTGAGTGCCCAGAGCACCCAGGCTCAGCCAAAGGGGACGATGCGGGGGGCCGTGGTGCCCCTGGCTCCGGGAGGAAGCTGGCACCTCTGCCCCGTGGCACGTAACTTTCAGAGACTGGACGGAGCCACAGGGGACTGCACAGAGCCGACCTTCTTGGCCTGCCAACTGCCCAGAACTCAGCGGCCACGGGGCAGTCTCCTGAGTACTCGGGACCGTCTGAAGGTGGCCCCCAGCCTGCCTGTCCCCTGCAGCTTCCCCAGCTCGGGGCCCACCGGTCCCACAGACCTTCCCAGAGCTCTTCCTCCCAGAATGGCCGAAGTCCATCACCCAGCGCCTTAGCTCAGGTGCCCAGTTCTGGAGCGGCTTCCAGGGCGCGCAGGCTGCCGCCAGGGGGACCCAGAGCCCGGGGACCACCGCCCCCAATGAGCAGGTCTTCTTCTTCCTCATCCTCAAAGGCCCGCGCTGGGCGGCGGGACGGAGGCCGGGGCGTGGGCTCGTCGCGCTCGGCCATGCGCTCGACGGCGCCCTCGCCCACGAGGAAGACGGTGTCGGCGACTCGCGGGGGTCCAGTGACCGGGTTGTGGTCGTAGGAGAAGACGCGCAGGGCGCGCAGCGGGTGCAAGTCGGGGAAGCCGCCCAGGCGGTTGCGGTCCAGGTCGAGGATGTGCAGGCGGCCCATGCGCAGCAGTGCGGGCGGGAACTCCTCGAAGCGGTTCCCGTAGAGCCAGAGGCCGCGCAGGCCCGTCATGCGCGGCAGCTCGGCGGGCAGCGCGCGCAACCGGTTGTCGCCCATCTGCAGCGACTGCAGCGCCACCAGGCGCAGCAGCGGTCGCGGGAAGCGCCGCAGGAAATTGCCCTCGATCCAGAGACAGCGCAGGCTCTGCAGCTGCGCGAAGTCGGCAGGCAGCGCCAGGAGCCGGTTGCCGCCCAGGTAGAGGCGCGTGAGGCGCGGCAGGCGGCACAGGCCGTCGGGCAGGCGCTCGAGTTTGTTGAAGTCGAGCGCCAGGATGCGCAGTTCGCGCAGCTCCTCGATCTCCTCGGGCAGCTCGCGCAGCCCCGTGCCGCTCACGTACAGCTTCTGCAGGCGACTCAGCGCGCACACGGCGCTAGGCAGCCGCCGCAATCGCCGCCCGCTCAGCTCCAGTTGCTGCTCGCCGTTGCGCAGCTGCTCCTCCGCATCCGACGGCAGCTCGTCCGGCGTGGACTCGGCGATGCCCATGGTCAAGGGCCCCGGCCGGGGCCGCCG